GTGTAGGGCACTTAATGTGTTATAATGATTCTTCGGTTTGTTGATTCATGATTCAAGCCCGGTGGCAGTAAACATTCCCGGTGGTCTTTTTGCTGTTTAAAAACTTGTTTCTTCACTGACAGCCAATAACCTCTTCGAAGTAACGTAACTACGTTCATCTGTTCCCTTCGTAAAGTGGCAAATTTCGATCAGATCTTAAAATTGCCGGTTTGCAGAGCAGATCAGCTGTCCTGTATGAATGTCGTAAACGTCATGATGGATCAGATTGTCAGGTTTATTTTAATCCGTGCTAAATCTGTTCTAATCGGCCCTTTCCATCCTGTACACCAGGCTCTTTCAAAATGTTCTCATTTCCAAAGTCTCATTCAACGAACTCCCATTATATATGCATAGTGGCACAGTGCTTAAGAGGTCGGCTTCGACGTCGAACTCGAACTCTGGAGATGGCGAGTTCGATTTCCGCAGCAGGCAAGCTTTGTCTTTATCACGAATTTCGTTGAGTAAAAAACTTACCGCACGTTGCTTTAGGACCAGGGTTACTTTACGAATTGGTAAAGCGTAAAATCAAAATCGAAATATCCTCGCCTGTCCCTTCGAATGCCCCGATAGGGGTCACTCGTCTCTCTTCGTTTCGAGGCTGATAAATGAATTCCACTGTAATAAACGAGTGGAACGGAAACAGGAGAATGCAGAATATTCTGGTCACATGGCTAATGTCGATTCTGCGTTTTAAATTAAGCTACTCCCGGCCGATGATGTGTAGACGGAGATCAGCGCAAAAACAACATTGCTAGAATTGGCCTCATCATTTAAGTATTAGGAAGGCCGACGGTGGTAAACTTTCCTTCCTTTTCCACCATGCAAAACATATGTGATCCCGAAGATGGCGCCGTTTATGCGAAGCGAAGAACAGAAAAGGCTTAATTTGTTGAATGCATCCTCTAATGTTAATTTACACATCTTGATATTCATTTGAAATAACTCTTCAGTCCATTTTCTCGTGATTCTTCATGATCTTTGCTTTTTCTTTCTCATTGCGGCGTATTTTGCTTATTCGTTTTATGTATATCGTTGACGAGTGGGTCAGTGATTACTGAGATGTTAGTCAGTGGTAATTTACATACGTTAAGCTCAATTTTAAGCAATAAATTCGTTTGATTTCATTAATGCAGGACTCAGTCAATAGAGGGTGGAACTCAAAATCGAGAGATCGTGAATTTCAACCACACATGCTTCACCTTTCAAAGGTGGTAAATAAATAAGTATCACATGGTATGAAGAAAACCAGTGATTACATCCTGTTCAGTACCTTAGCTGTACTTTAAACTTTAAGCTCCATGAAGCAAGAGTGCAATAGATAGTGCCCAGGCATGACAATGTGAAGGAGCCTAGATTACATCCATCAGTCACTTTTCTTTTTTCATAGCATTGAGACTCACCGTAGCATCCCCTCAGTGCTGTGATCGTAATTTGTGCGTTGCTATTGTAATATATCTATCGCTCTGCCACATAAGATTTAGATTTGTCTCCTTTAACAAATGAATATTCGTGGCTATGTTTAAATGGCAGTAATCATGTAGCATGTATGACTGGAACAAGAATTTACAGCACTGTATGTCCAAAGCTGGCCACATATGTTCGCGTTTGCGCAACCCTGAGTCTATCATGGTGCCAGCTGAACTTATGGATGAAGAGATGGGGGGTGGGAGGGGACAAAAGCTGCTTTCGTTCTCTCGATGGAATTAAAGCGACTCTTTGTTAGGGAGTAAGGAATGGTGACGAAAGTGTTGCATGCGAAATACCGAATGGATTGCCAGCATTTTCGACCGTTGTATTGTCATCAACACACGATTTTGTGTCAGGTTTCTCTAGTTTTCATAGTAAGTTTAGTTTTTTGAGCAATAATCGCTTAGAATATTTTAAGGAGCGGTTGCCAAATGGGATTCTTTAAATTGAGGTTTTGATAGTCATTTGTCATATAACCGTTGGTGTTCCGTAGTCATATCGAAGGAATTCTCAGCGAGATCATCCTCAAGGCGCTTTGCATCAATTCAGGCACACTCTGGCTTACGCAAGAATTACTTCCTGTAACCCTTTACGTGAAATGAATTTTGTGTAAGTTGCGTTTAACCCAGTCCACCAGTATACCCCACCGTACTGCTTGGGGGTACTATATAACATTAACGGTAGTAAACTTATTTTTATTGACAGAATGCGCATGGTATGCAAAGTAGAAAAATTATAAAATGTGTGATCTGATGTCCGGTTGAGAAGTCACAACTGCAACGGTTTTGGCACATGTTGCGAATGCTTCCTGAAAGGAAGGCGAAACAGCTACTCATTGTCAAATTGACTAGCTGAAGCCCCGGGGACTCTTAAGGATAATTTGGAATCAGTGTATTAAAGGACTCTGCTTCAGACTCAGATTGTTTTGTGTTGAAGCTCAAGCGCTGGTATAGGATTGGGAATGGTGGAGACAGTCTGATGCGTCTGCATCCATGATCCGAAAGGATGACCGGTCATCGAAAGTGACCGACTGATTGATTTGGTGTTCACCGTTCGTTATGAAAATAGTAATGGATGATTTAAAAGTGCCTTCTTTACTCTCTTCATAAATTATGATGTTAATCTGCCACGGCGCACGGTAACACTAAAGATTATTACAGTATATGAATACATATATGGAACACGTTCGTGTTCAACAGTAAGCGAAGGAAGACTGAGAAAGACGTACCATGCTCATGCAGAATTGTTTGCCTTACAAAAGACCGCTATTAGGCGGCAAACGAGCAACAGGGACACGAGAAGTGAAGTAGCTCGAATTTTTATCTACGTACTTTTAGCATAATTTGAGTAATTGCGAATGTACCTCATTTAAGTAGTGATCTGCCTGTAGTGAAATGTTGACGGCTCTCTTGTCATTCAGAAGATGAAGTAAATGCATTAGGTTTTAGGTATTGTCTGTTTGAATTCAGTGCAGTGCATTTACTTGTGTAATCGAGAAGACCCTCTTCTGCTGTTCTGTTAACAAATGCTGATTGGCTTGCTGTCTGTAGAATGTGTAGTGTTTAGAATGATGAAAATTCCTTATGGGAAATAGTGCAGCGTAATGAGTTTAGGATAAGTACTCAAGTAGTTAAGATTTGGTAAATATCTGCATACTGTAAGATACTCAACCGAATCGGCAAGCCATTGATTACACAAGATGTTGTAGTCGACTAGTAAAATATTGACAGTTTTTACTCCAGAACCTGGTAATCTCTGCCTGAACATATGGCAATGCAATTACGTATGCTCTCTAATGGACTCTGTTGTGCTAAGCAGCGTCATGAACAGCATCTGCCTAAGATGTTTATGTTTAAAATGATGAGAGCACAGAAAGTGGTAAATGAATTAGTGAATAATTAATGAAATAAATTATGAATTCAGACGGTGGTAAAATAGTACAGTTTTCAATTATTAAGTTTAGATATTGACAACTAGCCATTAGTCTCCTCAGGCGTTCCTTGACGTGTTTCAGATCATGTATTACGTTACGAATCATAGAAGCTCATCTCCCAAGACCTATGGAACCGCATTCGAAGCTTCTGTGCTTGAAAAGCGTGTTTTTCTGATCGTTGTTGATTTGTCGTCGTTGTCGAATGGCGTAATCGATGCAGACCATAACCAATTATCTGGTGGGAGCGGCGGAACCACTGGCACCCTTCGTCTTCTTCGAGGTCATTAGCGCATGAAGCGGTTGTTTGCCCTGTCATTTCCGGTCCGTCCGCCGGTGACTTTCGCCGGAAGTCAATTTTTTATGGTTTCTTTCTTTTCTCTAGTGGAACAAGTTAGCTTTTGCTCCACACTCACTGACACGCCAAACCTTGCCAAACAGAGCCTGACCTATTTTTTTAGAACCGGTTTAATACATTCTCGTTTTACAAGTATCAAGCGATCGATGCCTTATTTATCATCGCCTTTCTACAGAGGTATCTCCAAACTGTATGTCGTGATTTCAACGTTAAATGAGCATTAGATAGTTCCTGAAATCCACTGTATCGATTATCCATCCCACTACTGCTTCAGATTCGTTTTTCAACTTCTAAGTACAATAATTACTTGGCATAAGCAGTGAGGCTCTTTGATTTGTGCTGCGTGATATGTTGTTCATTGCAAACGGAGAAAGGCAGCACATGTGAGTCATTTTCCGCGCGAACCTCCCTCGTTATTGATAACTATATCGAAGACGAACCCGATCTGGAGGAGGTGCCCGAAGTCACAATCTCGTATAAACATCTAATTATTGACCCCTCCCCACCCGACAACAGGTCGTTGCTGTGTGTACAATTGATATTCTTGCTTTGCAGTCAAAATCTGATCAGTCAAGTATACCCTCATATTTTGGAGTTGTTCCATGCTTCTTACCATATTTCTGTTATCAGGCTCATTATAAACTGTTCTTCCGCAGTACTTTTGGTATTTACATACACTTTTGTAAATCTAAGATGTAAAGTGTAACTTTGAGTATAATTTTGTTTTGACCAGCCCTTTACGCATTGTTCCAGGATAAAAATAATTTGTAGGATTTTTTCTTGAACAAATACCATTTGACGTTTTAAATTCTAGACCTGTGTAGTTGGATCATCAGAGGTTAGTTGCTCAGTCGGTAGATCATC